ACATGTAGTGGGGTTGTTAACCATTATCATAGGGCAACATGTGTACTAACTGTTTAATGAGAAACTATTTTGTTCTGTAAACCTTCATCGAAAGTGAGAATAGCAGCACAACTGGAAGAACGTAATCGATGTCACTGAACTGTGCATGTAGAAATTTCTGAAATGGTGTATCTTTGGCTATGTGTATTTTCACCAAAAAAAAAAAAGTTGAGAAGGGAGAGGGTTGACATGTCATGGGGTTGTTAACCAATGTCATAAAGCAATATGTGTACTGACTGTTTAATGAGAAACTCTTTGTTCTGTAAACCTTCACCTAAAGTACAATAAAAAGAAAAGAAAAAAAAAGCTCAAAAAACAAACATAAATTATTATAGAAAAGTAAATTCCCTCAAATAAATGATTTTGCCTGTAGTACCTAAGCCATTCCACTAATCTGTCACTTTTTTAAAATTTTAAAGCATAGAAGTAATACTAAAAAATGATTTTAAAATACTACCTACTAATAAAGAAATCTCCGTGCATTTTGTATAAAACATTTAAATTACAAGTCATTTTACCTAAACTAAAAAAATTTGCTTTGAATATATTTATTTTTATAAAGTATTCATAGAAGACCATGAGAACGTATGTACAGGGAATAATCTGGGAGATGATTATTTATGAAGCTGAAAAAATGAGAGACATGAGAGTGTTTCCAGGGAAACCCACAGTTACCAAAGAGCAATACTGAAAAGAGAGAGCAACATAACCCATGGAAGTGATAAAGCTCTGTTAGTGCCATTTATGATCCTACATAAACGGCCATTTTCCATAAAACACCAAGGACGAGAAGTAAAAAGAGAGTGAAGTAAATGAGAAGACCAAAGTTGCAGTACTGACAAATCATCCTAATAAGTCACTTCATTTCTATGGCAACTGTTTTTCATCTGCAGAATGAACAAGCTGGATGAGATGTCCTCTACAACCCCTTCCACCTTGTCTGTCTATAAGGTAAAACTTTTAAATGTTGAAAAGAAAACCTTCTTAGGTATGGTTCTGTTGAAAAGACATCTTCACAACTAAAATTAGTCTATGTCTGCTTGACAGAGAGGAAGATCCATGACCTTGGTCTAAAATATTCTTAAAACTAGATTTTTATTTTTTTCTTCTCAAAAAGATACAGGTTCGCTCAGGAGCAAAAAAATAAGCATTATTGGTACTAGAAATTAAAATTGTGATTGTGAAGAAAAAAACTGGAAATCACAAATGGGTTTAGCAAGTCCCATTCCTATAAAAAAGGTATTTTAAGAACTTTCACATAAAAACACTTCAACTCTTCCTTGTTACAGTATAAAACAAAACTTTTTACCTTAGTGTCCCAAAGACTTATATTACTAATTACAGAAAAAGAACTGAACTATTTTCCTATGGCAAAAATAGAAAACTTTTCTTACAAAAAGATGTGGGGTAGGGAGACAGCCTTTAAACATATTTTAACGTTGTTTTATAATTACCTGGTACCCATTCTTCTTTGTATATTTTCATATAGTTTCTACTATACCTTTCAATATCTAGAAAAAAAGAGAGAAGTATTCATTACAAAAATCCAGAATAAACCTGAACTTAAGTCATTCTTTTAAAATCATTGAAAACACCAGATTGCATCTTTTACTTCACAGAGTTTCCTATATTTGTATATAAGGTATTCCTGAACACAAATTGAAAAGTTCAATGAGAATAACATGTTTAAGGAGGTGGCAAGGTATAGCTGGGTATGAAGGGTCAGGAGCAAGGAGAGACCTAAACTCTAATTATGGTCCTTAGAGTCTAACAACCTGACTCATTTGTGAGAATGTTCACCATAGCTCAGAGCCAGGGCAGGGAGGTCTTACTTGGAATCTACTTGCTTCTTGTTACACTGCTCTCTGCCTCCCAATCTTTAGACCTTATGGAACTGGGATGCATTTAGTACCTAAGTGGGGGTGGAGGGCTGTCTGCTCACCTCTAGCACTAATTACACACACAATTATTCAATTAGAGTTCTCAATGAATTATTTTTCATAACCCATTGGGGAAGAGAATGGGGAAAAGGAGGAATAGGCAAGGTTGGACCAGGTGAGGGGTTTACCTGTAGAGGATATGAAGGACCAAGTTGCAAGCTTTCCTTTACAACTACTGAAAATTCTGCAGGGGCCCTCTGAGTTTGTCAAATGGAGATCTACAACTTTGGCTCTTGCTTCAGTTAGCTCACTTTGCCACAAGAAACTCCCCTGATAAGAGCCCAGACCCCTTCCAAGCAGAAGAGGTTAGCAAGCAACACCAACAGCCAGTAACTGGAAACCATGGTTCATCATAAAAAATGGTTTAGAAATATAACCATGAAAAAGGGAAGGCATACAAAAGATGAGTATATAAAAACCGAGAACTAAATTTTTTGCTGGCCTTTCTTCTACATTAAAAAACTGCTTCCAAAAAATATAAGGGCCATGGTGTTAGAGAAAGACAACTAAAATAGCAAATGAAAAGACCAAGAGGCCAGGCTTCTCTAGATATTTAAATGTTTGACTTTAGGTCAAATGTTTAACTAATCTTGCCCTCAAGTTTCTCATCTATAAAGAGTCAATACAAACTAGAAGATTCCCAACATTTGTATTACAAACACTTCTTTTTTATGATTTTCTCCAAAACAGATGCCACATTTTGAAAATTTTAATCCACAGTATACCACGGAAAAGAGTCATTAAAAATTATTACCTGGATCTACCTTTTTTAAAAACATATTTTATATTTTTAAGTTATTTTACAAGTAATTTACAGGAAGAAAGAATAGTAAAGAAAACAACTATTGAAACATAATTTAAAAATTGGCAAAAAATTTGAACAGACATTTCTCCAAAATATATACACAAATGACCAACACACACATGAAAAGATGCTCAATATCATTAGTCATGAGGAAAATGAAAATCAAAGCCACAATGAGATACCATTTCACACCAAATAGGTGGCTATTATAAAAAAATAAAACAACTCAGTAACAATGTAGTCTGATTATAGCTGCTGAGCTGCCCTTAGTTGAGGTAGCCCCCAGGCCTCTGGGCAGACCATTTTTTAACTGTAGAATTCCGTCTGGCAGCCTTCCTTCATTTTGTCCTATCTCTGTCCCTTCAGTCTAAGCTGACAGCATTAAGATGGCTGATTGGGTCCATGAGTCACACACCTAATCTATCGGTGAAAGTTTGTCTAGCTGTACACTTGGCTCTGTTTTCAGAGTACACTATCTGGATAGGTTAAGAATTTTCCAATCATTAAAGTGCTGGTTCCTCTTTGCTTAATAATTCCTTCCTCAATTTATCTTTCCTCTACCATTTTATTATAAGCAATAAGAAGAAACCAGGCCACACCTTCCACACTTTGCTTGGAAATCTCCTCAGCTAAATACCCAAGTTCATCACTTACAAGTTCTACACCTTTCACTCAATGGTAGAATATAATTAAGCGAAGATTACTGTCATTTTACAACAAAGATTGCCCTTCCTGCAATGTCCAATAACAGGTTCATCATTTCCTTTTAAGGCTTCACCAGAAACACCTTTAACATTCTTATTTCTAGCAATAAATAATATGCCAATTTTTGTTAATCTCAATTTTTCCCAACTTGATCTACAGATTCAATGCAATCCCAATCAAAATCCCAGCAAGTATTTTGTAGATACTAATAAACTGATTTTAAAGTTTATATGAAAAGACAAAAGATCCAAAATGCTAATACAATACTAATGAGAAAGTACAAAAGAGGACTGACACTATCCAACTTTAAGACTTACTTTAAAGTTACAGTAAACAAGACAGCATGGTATTGGCAAAAGAACAGAAACATAGACTACTGGAATAAAACGGGGAGCCCATAAACAGATCCACACAAATATAGTCGACTGATCTTTGACAAAGGATCAGTTTAAGGGAGAAACAATAAGCTTCTCAACAAATGATGCTAGAACAATTGGAAGTTCATGGTGAAAAATAATAATAATAAATTTAGTCAAAGACCTTATACTTTTCAAAAATATTAACTCAAAATGGATTATAGACTATAAAACACAAAACTATAAAACTTCTAGAAGAAAACATAGAAGATTTGGCAGGGAGTTTTTAGACACAACACCAAAAGTACAATAAACCCACTGCCGTCGAGTCAATTCCAACTCATAGTGACCCCAAAGGGTTTCCAAGGCTGTAAATCTCTACGGAAGTAGACTGTCACATCTTTCTCCTGCAGAGCCACTGGTGGTTTCAAACCACCGACCTTTCAGTTAGCAGTCGAGAGCCTTAACCACTGTGCTACCAGGGCTCCTTAAAAGTACAATAGATGGTACAAACATTTGCTCCATGAAAGACATTGTTACGAGAATGAAAAGACAAGTAATAGACTGAAAAAAAATTACAAAACATGTTTCTAATAAAGTACTTGCATTCAAAATATACAAAGAACTATTAGAACTCAACAATAAGAAAATAAACAATCCAATTAAAAGATGAACAAATGACCTGAACATACACAAATCTAAGATATATAAATGGCAAATAAGCATATGAAAAGATGCTCAACATCATTTGTCATTAGGGAATTGAAGATCAAAACAATAATAAGATATCACTATATACCACTACACACCTATTAAAATAGTTAACATCCAAAACACTAACATTACCAAATGCTGGCAAGGAGGCAGAGCAATAAAAACTCTCATTCATTACTGGTAAAAATGCAAAATGGCATAGCCACTTTGGAAGAGTTTGGCAGATTCTTAAAAAGCTATAGTCTTACCATATGATTCAGGAATCCCATTCTTAAGTATTTACCCAACTGATTTGAAAATTTACCTTCACATAAAAACCTGCATGCAAATGTTGACAGCAGCTTTATTTATAATCACCAAGAAGTGGAAGCAACCCCAAGATGTCCTTCAATAGGTGAATGAGTAAGCAAACTGTGGTACATCCATATAATAGAATATTATAAAGCAATAAGAAGAAATTAGCTGTCAAGCCATGAAAAGACACACATATTACTAAGTGAAAGAAGCCAGTCTATAACAGCTACATACTGTATACGAATTTTTTGACATTCAGGAAAAGGCAAAACTATAGAGGCAGTAAAAAGATCAGAGGTTACCAAGGGTTTGAGGTGAGGGTCACAGGGTTGAATAAATGTAGCATAAGGAACTTACAGGGCAGTAAAACTATTCTGTATAATGTAACGGTGAATACGTGACATTATGCATTTATCAAAACTCATAGAACTTTATACCAAAAAGAGTGAACCTCAATGTAGGCAATTAAAAAACAAATCATTTAGGATGTGTAGGGGTCCTAGGAAGCAATGCAGACTTTAACAGAGAATTGAATTGTATTACAAATGTATGAAACAACTCCACTAAAGGGAATGAGAAGAAAAGGTGCTAGCCTAAGTAAATTGGAAAATGCGTGGAGTCCATAAGACTAAAGGCAAAAGCAACATCACATAAGCACTACACTCTAGTTGATGAAGTTGTTTTGTCACAAGGGTACAAGTTAACAATTCTAATACTGCTATACATACATACTGGAATAGAAAATTTAACTAAATGGATGATGGAGGGTGGGAGTCAAGTTTCTTACTGTTGGAGTGGAAATTTACAGATAAGCAAGGGGAGGAAGCTAGAATGAGCCATGTAGTCATGGAGTAGAGTTAGAAAGAACAGTATGAACTCATGCTTAGCTTAATACAGATACAGACTGCCACAGACAGAAATATATATACATATCTACCTACATATTTTTCCTTGCTCTGTCAGCAGAGAGGGCATATAAGCAATGACACCTCAGTAGTGACAAGCACACCTAGTGCCCAGATCTTGGTTACTTTTTTTTTTTACATTTTCCCATACAAAAATTTATACATACATTATGTGACTCTAATTGCTCTCCCCATAATGTGACAGCACACTCCTCCTTTCCACCCGATTCCCCATGTGCATTCAACCAGCTCCTAACCCTCTCTGCCTTCCCATCTCACCTCCGGACAGAAGCTGCCCATTTAGTCTCTTGTATCTACTTGGGCAAAGAGGCACACTCCTCACGAGTATCACTTTATGTCCCACAGTCCAGTACAATTCCTGTCTAAAGAGTTGGCCTTGGAAACTGTTTTAGTTCCGGGATGATAGAGAATCCAGGGGCCATGCTTCTGAGGATCCTCCAGTCTCAGTCAGACTATTAAGTCTGGTCTTTTTACTAGAATCTGAGTTCTGCACTCGACCTTTCACCTGCTCCATCCGAGACTCTCTGTTGTGTTCCCTGTTAGGGCGGTCATTGGTGGCAGCCGGGCACCATCTAGTTCTTCTGATCTCAGGCTGATGAAATCTCTGGTTTATGTGGCCCCTTCTGTCTCTTGGGCTAATACTTCCCTTGTGTCTTTGGTGTTCTTCATTCTCCTTTACTCCAGGTGGTTGGGACCAATTGATGCATCTTAGATGGCCGCTTGTAAGCTTTTAAGATCCCAGACACCACTCACCAAACCAGGATGCAAAAC